ACCTCCAGTGCCAGGACCTCCAGCTCCAGCACCCCCAGGGCTAGCGCCACCTGCGCCAGCACCTCCAACTCCAGCACCCCTCGAACGAGCACCCCCGGACCGAGTACCGCCAGTGGCTGCACCTCCAGCTCCAACACCAACCGAGTCCACAGTAACCTGTCGCGGAAGTACCGAAGGCTGCTGAGGAGACTGTGAGGAGGACTGCGGGGAGGGAGACACTACCTGACGCGCGACCGAGGGTAGAGGGGTAGCGTGAGACACACCTGACGGGGCAGGACCAGGGGGGGGTGGGGGTACCGGAGGAGCGGGAGCAGGGGGAAGAGAGGGTGCGAGGAAGAGGGGGGGAGGGGGAACCAGGAGACCTCGACACGGGTACCGGGTGTAGTAGGACACTGACTCGTCGAACCGGACGTCACGGGAGTCTAGGAACTAGTGGAGGGGCGGGTGGTAAAAGGACCAGTCGGCCGAGGCTACCGGGAAACCAAGGAAGACACAGGGGACGGCGCGAGCCGAGAGCTTGTCCGCAGAGGTGTCGCGGACAAGCGCAAGGCAGCCCCAGACACGAAAAGTTGACCCAACACCAGGGGACCCGGTCCAAAGACTAGTCGGTGAAGCCTCTGGCCGCGAGACGCGCGGCTTGAGGTTCAGCTGGTGAGCGGCGTAGCGAACCGCGTAGGGCCACAGAAAATGGGGCGCACGGGCATGAATCATGGACATGCGGGCGATGTCCATGACCAAGCCAATGCGGCGCTCAGCAACCCCATTCTGCTGTGGGGACTCCGGCAGCGTCCAGGACTGTACGATGCCCTGCTCGCCGCAGAATCCGGCAAGAATTCCTGAGCGAAACTCACCCCCACGGTCAGAGTGGAGACAGAAGACACGACGGCCACGAGTGCCCTCAGTGGCTAGAAGCCACCGGATCAGCGTAGAAGTCACTTCGGACTTCTTCGCGAGAGGAAACACCGTGGTGTACCTGGACAAGTTGTCGACGACCACCAGAAAGTAGCGCTCCCTCTCAGGTCCCTGCGTAGGTGCAGGGCCCCAGACATCCAAGTGGAGTGTCTGGAAGGGAGCAGTGGCCGGACGAAGGGAGGAGGAGTGCGGAGTGGCACGAAGACGGCCGGCGACGCAAGGAGTGCACGGCGGCGCAGGCGAGGGAGGGAGCGACGGGAGACGCGAGGTAGACCTGAAACAAGACGGTGACTAGCCATAGTGCGGAGGTGGGGGATTGACGGGTGGCCAAGACGGTGGTGCCACAAGACAGTCCGGTGGGTGAAAAACCGACACGAGCAAGACGCAGCAATTAGACTGGACACAGCAACCTGACCGGACACAGCAACCTGACCGGACTCTGCTACCGGGGGGGACGAAGCAACCTGACCAGACGCAGCTACCTGCGGGGGCGGAGTGTGCAGGACGAAGAGACCTGAGTGGGGCTCTCTGGTGAACGTGGCAAGAACTGCCCCGGTGGAAGAGTCCGTACAGATCGCAGTCCTCCCGTGCGCAGGAAAAGTGACTGTGATCCCCCGGTCCTGAAGGTATCCAACACCCACCAAGTTCCGAGAGAACGAGGGGATGTAGAGACCAGTGAGGAAACCAGAGGGGACAGCTGGGCACGGGAGAGTGGTCGAGCTGCGAGCAACTGCTGGTCCTGAAGTAGGATCAGCCAGGGCAACTGGGACTGGAGCCGAAAGAGGTGTGACAGTGGTGTGGTCACGGAAGAAGCACTGAGATGCGCCGGAGTCCAGCGTGAAGGAGAGCGACGCAACAGCAGTCGTCACGGCTGGGCTAGTGACTACACAAGCACCTACACTAAAAGCACAAGTACCTACTCTAGCAACAGGCAAAGGTCCTAAGCTAGGTACACGCAAGCCAAGAGATCCGTACGTGACAAAATAAACAGCATCCATAGACATATCAAACACAGGGTAACCACTACGAAACAGACCGTGCCAGATCGGGGGAGCCGACTCAGGCCCAAAACGCTCACGGTAAAGGTCGTCGAGGCAGCTGTAGCAGCGCTGTGCAGAGTGGTCAGGACGCCAGCAGGTAGTGCCAGCACCAGGGCCGGTCAGGATCCGGTACTGGCAGGGGCCGACGTCGCGGCCACCGCGACGAGCCCCCCAGCTGGCTGGGCCGCTGCTGCAGCCAATGCTACCCGAACCACCAGGCCCCCACGGCTGCTGAGTGCGCCACAGCTGCTGAGGGCGGAGCTGCTGCTGAGGGCGCCCCTGCTGCTGCGGAATCCACTGCTGAAACGGCCGCTGCTGCTGTCCCTGCTGCTGGAGAACCCTAGTGGACTCCATGATAAAAGCTAGCGGGGTGCAGGAGCGGCAGGCTAGGAGCGACAGGAGCTAGGGACGGGTGCAGTGAAAAACGAGAACAACTAGGAGCGCCAGGTGAAACTAGGCGAGTAACTGCTGGAGCACGGAGCGAACTAAGCTAGGAGCGCCATGTGAAACTAGGCGAGTAACTGCTGGAGCACGGAGCGAACTAAGCTAGGAGCGCCAGGTGAAACTAGGCGAGGAACGGCTGGAGCACGGAGCAAACTGAGCTAGAAGCGCCAGGTGAAACTAGGCGAGGAACGGCCGGAGCAAGAGCTGGCTGGAGCTAGAAATGGCGAGCTAGGGCTGGCTGGAGGTAGGAACGGCCGGAGCTAGAGACCGTAAGTGCGGCTGTCGGCTGCCGCTAGTAGAGCCACTGGCAGTGGAAAGTACGTGCGACAGTAGGGGCTCCAGTGCTGACAGCTGCGGGATGGAGGCAACTGTGCAGGTCATCCGGCAAGTAGGAACGAGGGCGACAGTTGCAGGCCCCCACCCTAGACCCCTTTTTTTTTTGGTTTAATTAATTAATTTATTTTCTGGCGCTAAAGCGCTCCGGGGCGCGCTGCCTGCAGGGTGTGCTGCCTGCGGGGCGCGCTACCCGCGGGGCACGCTGCCTGCGGGGCGCGCTACCCGCGGGGCGCGCTACCCGCGCGGCGCGCTGCCTGCGGGGCTGGGGCGACGGGCCAGGGCGCGGGCTGGGGCGACGGGCTAGGGCGCGGGCTGGGGCGACGGGCGGGGGCGCGGGCTGGGGCGACGGGTTAGGTCGCAGGCTGGGGCGACGGGCAGGGCGCGGGCTGGGGCGACGGGCTAGGGCGCGGGCTGGGGCGACGGGCCAGGGCGCGGGCTGGGGCGACGGGCTAGGGCGCGGGCTGGGGCGACGGGCTAGGGCGCGGGCCTGGGCGACGGGCTAGGGCACGGGCCTGGGCGACGGGCTAGGGCGCGGGCCTGGGCGACGGGCTAGGGGCGCGGAGGGCGCTAGGCGCGGAGGTCCGCGACGGTGCGGGCTAGGGGCGCAGAGGGCGCTAGTCGCGGAGGTCCGCGACGGCGCGGGGGGCACGGAGGGCGCTAAGGCGTGCGGGCCGAAAACATGGGCTAGGGGCGCGGAGGGCGCTGACGCGCGGAGGAGGAGGGCGCTAGGGCGCGGAGAGGGTGCGGAGGGCACGGAGCCTAAGGCGCGGAGGGCGCGGAGGGCGCGGAGGTGCGCTAGAGAGGGCGCGGGCTAGGAAGTAACGAGGAACTAACCTACTCGTGATACCATCTCAAAGTAGGAATGTAACGGAATGTGTGAACTAGGGAAACAAGGGATACAAATAGCAACCCTAAAAGTGTTGTACTCCCTAGAGTGCTACTCACTGTAGCCTAAGAACCTATAATAACATTTGACAAATGCATCCAGGTTCCTCACGTGTTTTATAATTTTAGACGGGAGTTTCACGAATAAACCATTCACGTTTATCTCTTTCCTTTTGCCAAGTAATGGTGACTGATCACGTGAAACCATTTACTAGACTCAAGAGAACACCTTCTTGACTGACCGTTCGCGAGTTTTTGTTTACCAAAGATGTTATACCCCCTTTTCTATTTACCTACCGCATGTTTTCCCTATATTTAATTGTAGAAAAATAGTGATGAGTTACACTTTCCACTCGGTCGTTCCTTATGGTGTTCGTGGAAGTCTTGATCGTCAACGAGTTCCCACTCATCTAGGGTGGCGATTGAAATGAAGTTGCGTCCCAGATGTGATGTTATTGTTGGTTGCGACATATGACAGCACTGCAACCTTGTTTCTGGCGTCGTCAAGCGTCGCCGAATGTTCCGCCAACGCCTTGCTGTTCTAGCCTTTGGACAATTGGTGTTCAAACTTTTATTATCAAGTAACCATACGATTTTCTAACCCACTTTGGGCAGCCAATATTTCGAACCTACTGAGCGTGGATTCATTGATGAGTTATTAGTAAGCCAGCATGACGTGCTAGTGCTGAGCGTGGAGCGACCAAACAACTTTGGCAAGAAGCAATTGCAATTCCCTAAGCTTTCGACAAAAAAGGGCACTACGAGAAAGAAAAAAGCACGGAAGGAATCCTCCCTTCACCTTCAATTCGTCTCCTGTGAGATGAGAGGTTCCCAGCGCGTGTACCCTACCCGACCTAGCGAGATATCGAATTGACCGTTTTAAAACGTAAAAGATCTCATTGAGCCGCATTAAGACGAACATCTGGGAACCGTCCAGACCCCCATTCCTCCTTCCAGCTCCTTGTTATTGTTCAAAGCTTTCTTGAAATCTATACAAGTTCCGACAATTCAACCCAGAGCACGGTAGATGCTTTCTAACTTTAGACTTGTTTCATCACTAGAACCGTCCGCATGCAATACTTAGAGAAGCCACCATTTCCTCTCAAAGGAGTCTCCTTGTTTCCGCTCCGCTGAAAGCAACTCAGTCCAAGCTTTTAGGCCTGTTCCTACTCGCTCTTCCGTCCTGTTCGTCTCCGCGGTGAGGCGTGAAACCACCGATACTACTACCTCCTCTGCCGCCGCCACATCCGGTGCGGTCACGAGGCTCGTCCCCAACACCAACCGTCGCGAGAGTTGTGACTTTCCGCTGCGATGAGGCCAAGCTCGGCGCGCGTTTCGTCACGGAGAGTGACGCGGTGCTCGGCGCTCTTCTCCGCGAGATTGATGTCTCTTACTATTCTCACTGTCGCCCTGGCGCTTCATTTCTTGGCGAGCCTCCCTGTGCATGCTGCAGGACCCGTCGTGCGGATAGACGCGCTGCAAGGTGAGTCTATAAAACAGAATGGGTAGGAAAAATAAGGTATGATAGGAAGGGATGGGTGCGCGATGCTCCACGATGCTCTGATTTCTCCCGCTTGAACACAGAGATTGTATATGTCATGGAACTGTCATGGGGTGATGTCAGTGCCAGAGTTTAAGTTAGCGAGTTTTTTTATAGAGCGGATAGGCACGAAGGTTATGCCGCGTTGCGAGGAATGCTTGTAATGTGATGTGAGCGGTAAGATGATGTGATGCACTGGTGCCGTCGAGGCGATGCAGTGTGGTGCGATAAGATGAGATGATATGCGGTGCGGTGCAATAAGATGCGATGGGATGGGATGTGGAGGGGTGTCATGGTATAAGATGCTATGGTGTGATGCATGGGATGCGATGTCGTGGGGTATGCCGCTGTGGTGCGATTTGGTGCAAAGGTGTGAGTGATGCGACGGGATGCGATTCGATGGGTTGGGATGGGATGGGATGGGATGGGATGGGATGGGATGGGATGGGATGGGATGGGATGGGATGGAATGGGATGGGATGGGATGGGATGGGATGGGATGGGATGGGATGGGATGGGATGGGGTGGGATGGAAAAGGATGGGATGGTTTGAGATGGGATGGGATGGGTTAGGATGCGATGGCATGCAATTTGAAGCGATGGATTAGGTTGGGATGGGATGTGGAGTGATGCCATGGTGTACGAGTATGACAGTACGTGAGCAAAGCTTCACCTATTCGCTGCCTCACGTCGTATCGACTCCTCATGCATCCACCCTCAGTTCCTTCGTGTGTGTTGGGAGATACTCCTATGCTACCTCAGTAAACACCCACTCATATCTCCGTGTGAGCTGTGCTGTTCCCTTCTTCCCTTCGTCCCTCTCTTCTGGCAGCACAAGCTCTGGCGGCGAGCGCGGGGGCATGGGGAGTGGCGCCCACAGGGTGGAGTGGAGGGGGGGACTGCAGCCAAGTGCAAGGGGTGACTTGTGACAGCAATGGCACGGTGGTGGCAATGTGAGGCACGGTGCTTGCAATGCAAGGCTCGGTGACTTGTTATGGCCTACTGTTTCCTTGAATCTTCCACTGTGGATACCTTTTCTGCATGGTTTTGAACGCATGCAACTGTGTCCCCATACCCCCATCACATGACCGTCTCCGTTCAGGATTGATTGATGCCACATCATGTCGTCATGACATGTATGCCTCAACTTCGCATGCCACCACATGGCATCGCTTCACATGACATGGTTTCACATGGCATGCCCTTTCATGGCATGGTCTAAGTTGGCATTCTTTTGCATGGTATGCATTTACATGGCATGCCTTGTTATGGCATGCCTTCACATGGCATGCGTTCTCATGGCATATTTTTCACGAGCAGCGACGTGAGCAACACCCCCTTGAATGGCCGCATTCCTCCGGAGATTGGCAGCCTCACCACCCTCACTCTCCTGTAAGCCTCACAACTGTTAGCCCAGCCTGCTATCGACTGGGTTAGAAGGGCTTGCTTGTATGGTGGGTAGCACACCCATAACCCCCCAGGCCGCGCCTGTAGCCCTCCCACAGTCAACTCGGGGAGATCCCAGTGCCGCACCAACAACAACCCTCACTCTCCTGTAGGTCTCACCATCTTGCTCTCCTCTCACCCTCTCCCTTTAGCATGGGTGGTACTTTTCCTCCCGTTCTCTCCTCTCCTTCTCCCCTCCTCTCTTCCTCTCCGCATCTCCCCTGAATTTCTCCTCCCCTGCTGTTCCCTGCCTTTCTCTTTCCAACACAGCAACCTCGCGAACTGCTCTCTAAGTGGCTACATCCCCACCACATTCAGTGCCCTCACGTCCCTCTCCCTGCTGTAAGAATTACCCTGCAGACCTACATTTGTATTTGCACGAATTTCCTTGTTAGAGTGGTGCATTTGCGGGTTTACCGTTACCCAATGTCCAGCCTTATGTAAAAGCAATTTTTAGAACTTCAAGCCATTCCTCATCCTATGTTAGTAAAATAAGCGCACTTCTTTTCTTCCCCAATCCATCTATAATCCTCAACTTCCAGCTGTTCCTTTTCCTCCTACCACACCCTCCACCACTCTAGGACTACAACCACTTCTCAACCCTCGCACACATGTCTCACCTTCGCCTTTTCTCACGTGTCTCTCGAAGCTCATTTCTGCCTCTGTCATTGCCTCTTACTTTCCCTCACATATAAAGCATGCTCACGGCTTTTTTCCTCTCCCTACGCCACCCACCCTCCTCCTGCTCCCCCCTTTTATTCCTCTCCCCCTCTCCTCCGGCTGCGTCCTCCTCACCCCTCCCCCTTCCTCTCCCTCCTTCCCCCTACCCCTCCCTCTTCCCATTTTCCCCTTTTCTCTCCTATCCTTCTCGGGTCTCCCCTTGGCCGCCCCCCCTTCTTCCCTCACCTCCCACGCAGGGATCTGAGTCACAACAGCCTATGGGGCACCATGCCGTCGTTCCTCAGCCTGCTGGAGAATCTGAGGCGCCTGTGAGTCGTTGGCCTGGGATGCTCGAGGGGCTTGAGAGGCTTGAGAATTGGCAGGTTGAGAGGGTGCCGTGTCAGGGGCTTGAGAAAGTGGCGAGTCAGGGGCTTGAGAGGCTCGAGAGTTGGGACCTTGAGGGTTGATACTTGAGAAATGAGAGATTTTGTGAGTGGGAGGCTTTCCTCACGCCACAGTCCTTCCAAAAAGACCAATGCCACTGCAATGGGCATCCCACTCACCCCTTGACCAGCGCTATCCCCATGCCCTTGCTCCCTCCTCCTCTTGCTTCCTCTATCTATGCCATGCCCTGGTTCATGATCAACATTTTTTAGGCGCCTAAAAAATCTCTCTATGCCTTGGCCTGGTTCTCAATACCACAGGGACCTGAGGAACAGCTCGTTGAGCGGAGCCATTCCATCCAGCCTCGGCATGCTTCCCAACCTGCGCTTCCTGTGAGCCACGCCTCCGCCCTCCGCCCAGCTACATGTTCAGATAAGGCTGTGGATGTATGCCATTATACTGTATTTACAGAATATGTATATGTATATATATATATGTGTATATGCATATATGGCTTCACAAATTGACCCCCTCCCCACATCATTTTCTGGAACGCCTCATTTGAATCGAGGATATCTAAGTTTGTCTGTCCCGTTCTTTGGAAATCATCGATCTGCACTCGATTCGCGTTTGTCCTTAACGATCTCTCACCTGCTCCCCTCCGGGTGATGCTTTCCCGATGCCCGGTGTTCCTGTAACGCACAACCTAGCTAGCCATCTAACTAACATCCCTAGTCAATGTCGAAACTCTTCTCGACAATGAAAGAGACTACGGGAATATGTGTTGGTTGGGTTAGGAAGAATGGGTTGGAAGGGAAGAGTGGTTTGACACTTCCAAACCTCAACTTTGAGGCTTGGAACTTCCCAACCCAACAAATGTGAGATTGAATGGTTGGATTTTCAACCAATAAAATTGTGCCAGTTGTTGTTACAATCCAACCAAACAACAAAGCAACCATACAAATCAATTAAGTTGGGTTTTCCCAACCAAACAAAGATGCCACCTAGGCTCCAAGCCTATTAGCTCCCCAACCATGGAAGCCATGGTTGGGAAGAGCCCCAAGGGGTATGATGGAAGGGGTTGGAGCTTTCAAGCTCATTCCCACTTCCCAACTCCAATACCAATTTGGAAATGGGATTTCTCTTAGTCATTTGGTTCTCCTAACAAGCTCTCCTACACAACTAGACTTGTGTTATTTTCAAGGATAAGCTCTACAAGAAGCTACCCACTTACTCAAGCTTCATCAACCTTCTTCAAGCTCTCTTTCTCCTCTCAAGCTTGAAGAGTACTATCAAGGCTAGATTATCCTTTGGTGGGATTAGTTAAACTTGGAAGCCTTGTATCTTGATTTTATAAATATTGTCAAGGGTGATTTATATTTAACACACGGTTGCCCGTTGTTATAAGGGCCGTGGTTGTTACAGTTCCTCTCTCCCTCTCCTGTTTAGGGTTCTCTCGTCCAATCTCCAACCAACCAGCGGTTCTGCTCATCTGCTCCCCTCCGGATGATGCTTTCCCGATGCCTGGTGTTCCTCTCTCCCGCCCACAGGGACCTCTCGTCCAATCACCTCACTTCGGATGTTCCTGCTTCCCTGGGCCGACTGAACTCACTCACCCTCCTGTAAGTGCCTCATCCATCCTCCTTCATGTTTGAGCCGCTTGGATCGCACCTCTAGAAGTTGCGACCAGCTGAAACGATTCAAAGCTACTCCAATGCCATTGTGGTTTTCGTTTTTTGGGGGGTAGTAGCATCACCTCTGGTAAAAACAAAGATGTGCGGGACTACTAATGCCATCTCAATTTGCTGTTTCTCCCTCACCCTCACCTGCTGTGCCCATATACGGAGTCTGAAATTACTAGTCCTCACCACTTATCCCCTCCCACTCCACCCCCCTCCCTTCCCCCCCCCCCCCCCCCCCCCCCCCATCTCAACCCCACCCCCCCTCTTCCCCCCTCATTTCCCCGTTCTTCTGCTCTGATCTCCTCTTCGCGCCCCTTCCCTCTCGAATCCTCCTTTCTCTTCCCCCTCTCTCATCCCATCCCTCCTCTTCACTCTTCGCCCTTTCCCTTCCCCCCTTTCCTCCTCCCTCTATCCTATCCCTCTCTTTCCGCAGCGATCTGAGTCACAACAGTCTACAGAGCACCATGCCGTCTTTTCTCAGCCTGCTGCAGAATCTGAGGCGCCTGTGAGTCGGTGGCCTGGAAGGATTGTGAGGCTTGACGCTTGAGAGAATTGAGAGGTTTGAGTGGCTCAACACTTGAGAGGCTTGAGTGGCCTGAGAGTCGGAAGATTGAAAGACAAAGTAAGAGAAGATAGGGAGAGTACCAGTCAAAGTCTCGAGAGCCATGTTACTGTGGCATCAAATTTACTCACCCCAGTCTCACCAACCACCCCCTGCACCCTTTTCCACACGCCCTTGCACCCTCCCATCATGCCCTTACACCCTCCCGTCATGCCCTAACACCCTTCTCCTATGCCCTTACACACTTCTCCCATGCCCTTACACCCTTCCCCCATGCTTTTACTCCCTCCTCCTCTCACTTCCTATCCATGTGCCTAGGTCTGGTACATGAGCAACAGCTCGCTGATTCTTTAGCCTAAGTCTGTCCCCTCCCTTGCGCCTTCCCTTGGCGCTCTTCCCCTCTTTCCTCCCCCCCTGCATGCCCTTCATGCCCACTTGCTTGTGCCCCTCCCTTTGTGCTCTGCACCTCCTTGCGCCTTCAATTCCTGCTCTCCCAGATGCGGATCCATTCAGGAATGACCTTTCAATCAACTTGACGTTCATCTATCCCCTCTCTGCACCCTTCCTTCGTGCCCTGCCAGGGACCTGAGCGACAGCTCCTTGCAGGGTTCCATTCCAGCCGGCCTCGGCATGCTTCCCAACCTGCGCTTTCTGTGAGGCTCACCTCCCCCTTTTTTTTAATCGACCCAAGAATCAACCTGCGCTCTATTTAAGACAGAAGTCCGCCACTAGCCCAACCACGTCCACTGTGTGTGTGTGGTTTCATTCCCACGTCTCCCCTTTGCCTGCGAATTCTGGCTTGGCTTTTATCCAGCCCAGAATTCGCTGCCTTCCAGACTTCACTGCCTTCCGTCTGCCCTGCTGTGCAATGGCTGCTGACTCAAAGCATCTGCTCCCCTCTGCCTGTTATTCGAAGTCCTCTGGTTTCCTCAATGGCTTTGCCTGACGATCATCTCTCCCACAGGAATCTCTCGTCCAACTACCTCACTTCCTCCATCCCTGCCTCCTTGGGTCGAATCAAATCACTCACCGTCCTGTAAGCGACTTCAGAGAAAGTTTTTGTACTTTTCCCTGCCTTTCTGGGTCGTGTTGAATCATTCACCGTCCTGTAAGCGTCACAATCCATGTTGCTTCATCATTTGAGCTGCTTGAACCGCACCCGTAGCTGGAATGACACAACGCTACTCCAATGGTCATGTGGGTTTCTGTTTGTTAAAGGTGGCATCACTGGTAAACGCAGAGACCTGTGGGACTAACATTGCCATCTCAGCTTCCTGTGTTTCTCTCACCTGCTATATTAGTGCACCAAAACAACAATCATCCGTCCTATTTTTCACTACACCCACGATGCCATCTCCATTGAGGATTCTCAATTCCCTTGCATCCGCATTGCCAACGTTCTTCTGTCATCCCCAGCGACCTGCACAACAACACCTTGACTGGTACCGTGCCTAGGAGCCTTGGCATGCTTCCACGCCTTAAGGACATGTAAGCCTGAAGCGAAACCAGATGTCCTTTGACGATCAAGGGTGCAAAACAACCCCTTGACAAGCCTCTTACCTAGGAGCCTTGGCATGCATCCATGCCTCAAGGACACGTAAGCCTGGAAACCAGGTGTGTTTTGACCACGCTTTTTCCCTGCACTCTGTTTCTGATAAGCTCTCTTTCCCCCTCTCTCTCGAACGGTCCTTTCATTAATGTAGAACACAGGTACAGCCAAGAACAAGAGGAGCCTATTTCCCCCTTATATTCCCCGGAATGAGAGGCAGAAATAAAGCCACTCTCATTCCGCCTCTATTCACCCCTCTCTTTCCCCCTCCCTTTCCCACTCTCTTTCCCTTGTTATTCACTCACTCAACGGAGATTTCTGCTTCCGCTTAAAAAAAAAAACCAACCAATTCATGTTCTTGCCGTGTCGAAACTCGCCTGCTTCTCCTCACCCACCTCTTCCCGACAGGGATATTTCTGACAACGGATTCTCATCCTCCATCCCTTCAGCTCTCGGCTTCCTCACTCGACTCACACGCCTGTAAGCAGACTGCTGCAGCACGCAGAGAAAGCCTCTCCTGAACAAAAAAACAGAAAAGAGATTAAAGATATACCCTACCTAAGAGAGATTGGACTGAAAAACTGCTTCACTCAAAGCGGACCACTGAAGCACTCAGATGATGAACTGACCAGCAGGATAGCAGCACGCTGCATTGCACAGGGATGCTTTGAGTCGCACAGGGCTGCCTTGACTTGCACAGGACTTCTCTGTTTAGTGCGCAACTCAATATGCTACCTGAAGGTCTTAACACCCCCCGATTCTGCCTTCTATTCCTCTATCTCTCCCCCTCTCCCTCTTCCTGCGCACAGCAATCTCTCAAGCTGTTCTCTCATTGGCACTGTTCCCGGCATGCTGAGCTATCTCACTGGCCTGCACACCCTGTGAGTCTCACTTTTCACAAGTGCCCTGCATGTTCACAACAGCTTTAAGATCGTGTGTGAATTCAAAGCCCGGTTGATAACACTCTTTGTCTCCTGTGTGCGGTTAAAAGGCCTTTTAAAGGGCACCGCTTCTCCATTCCTTGTGTCTGCGAGTGCAGCGACCTGAGACTTAACGCCCTGTTGAAAAAACTATGTATCCGCCTCTTACATGCTTACCAAACGGCACTGATTCTCCATTTATTGTGTCTGCGGGTGTGCAGAGACCTGAGCTCCAA